GTCATTGTTGTTTTGGCGGGTCCGGGCTGGGGATTCGAACCCGCCACCTTAGGTGTACTTGGCTGGCGCCTTAGCCAGTTGAGCTATAGGTGCTGAGCCCGTGATGGTTTTTCTTAAAGATAAGGTCATCCTCTGCCTACCTTTGGTCAAAAATTGTACTTTGGTCACATTTTTAAGTGATAAGGGTTGCTTATTTCTTTAGACAACTTAGATGTTCATAATTTCCAAGAGAATAAAATTTTACTAAGACCAGGTTAGTAAAAGTATAATGCTATATATTATAAATGTGATAAATTATAATGTTCATTGTATAATCATACTTCTAAATTAATCAATGTAATATAACCTCTTTGTTTCTACCTGTGTGTTTTAGAGCATTCAAGCTTGGGGGGTCTGTCCTTTTCTTAAATACACATTAAAGATGTTTAGCACTTCTTGTCACCTGTTAATAGGCACTAGATACTCCCACCCCTAGGCACACTTTAATTATACTTAGGGAAAAGAGGTTTGTTTTATTCCTGAAGCCATCACTGTTGTCGTCCAGTTCTTTGCTGTCACCTGATTTCTAATTATTGCCTTAGGCTTGTCGGTGGTTTCTCTGGTAACGCTACTCCTCCTTCCTTTACCCCCAGAACCCTGCCCATAAAAACATGTTGTACAGAAGACAAAGAGACATTATAGCATAGCAGAGAACAGACGAGGATTTAAGAGTAGCATTAGACATTACAGCGGAGAGGAGGGAACAGCTTCAACATGGATGTGAGACTCTGTGTCCTGAACTTCCTCTTTGGCCTCTTCTGCCTGTGGTGTTCTCAGGGTTTGCTTGTTCTCCTGAAGCAGGCAGCCCCGTGTGGTCATGGAGAACGTGGGCTCTGGAGTCTGCACCGCCTGGATTCAGATCTCTGACACTGTAGGAATGTTAGTAACTTCTTTGTGCTGTAGAATGATGTAATAGTCCGTATCTCAGCATTTCTGTGAGGATTGAGACAATCCGTGTAAACTGCTTCAGAAAGCATTCGGTAAATGCCTGTGATTATTGCCAAGTGACACTTTGCTTCTAGGTCTTGTTCTTCTTTTGAGAGTCTTAATGTCTTTAGAGGAACTCCTATCCCTTTCACCTGAAGGGAAACATCCTCAATCTTGTTAATCTAGCTAATTTCTTTCCAAGTTAGGTCAGACCTATAAATGCTTTTTTGAATAAGAGGACTCTTTAATCCCAAGATGAACTGGGCATTTTATAGCAGATACAGAACTTTAGTCATGTTTCGTTTTAAGTGCATCTTTTTATAATCGATTCCTCATGCATAGAATTGGATTTGTTAAGGAAGAGATTTTTCTTCTAAACTGATAAATCAGAACCTATCTACCGTGTCACCAAATTTACTTTGATTTCCTTTTTCTTTTAGGAAACTTGGTACTTTATGAGTCATTTGGATAAAAATGAAAGGTTTATATTGCTTTATTTTTCCATTTAGGTTACCCCTTGGTCTGTGACAGCCAGAGGAAAGAGGCTCCTCCCTCATTTCCAGAGAATGATGAAGAAGCCTCAGAGCTGGAGCGAGAGCACGTCCACCGGGTTTATGAAGAGATCGCCGGGCACTTCAGCCGCACCAGACATGCCCCGTGGCCGCGCATTGTGGAGTTCCTGATGGCTTTGCCAAGTGGCTCCATAGTGGCTGATGTTGGATGTGGGAATGGAAAGTATCTTGGCATCAATAAGGAATTATATATGGCAAGTAATGTTGCTCCTGACTTTCTTTCTGCTTGATTTGCAGTGATTATCGTCATCTTTCTTCCTCACCATCTAATCTTGTTTTTTAGGTCATTGCAGAAAAGTAATAAACAGACTGAAATTAACAAATACCACCATTCCCTCTTGTTTCTTTAGAAATTTATGTCATCATTATAGTGGTGGTTTTATCCGATCAGATTTTGCTTTCCAATATGATTGTTTTATCATAGCTTTTATCAAGCTATCTGGCACTTAACACGACTACAGATTAAATTTTTTACAGGGAACATTCTCAGGTTTTTGATGTGTTGCTTAAAATTGTAACTGTAACTGTGGTTCAAACAAGGTGATATCTTCTGGTGTTTTAATTGAAAAGTACTGTCCAAATATGTTTCTCAGTAGGCTCTGCTTTTGCACTTTCTTGTTGATAATTGGTGGCCTATGACTTTACCTAGTCAGATATTATTTGTGACTTTTCCCTATTAGAGAGATTGGGTTAGCAAGAAATTTTCTGAAGATAACTATTAACTAGTGATTTACTATTTCTTAAGCCTCTCTCATTACTTCCCTAATTTATATGGGCACATTGCAGTGTGTGTGTGTACAGACAGACGTGATATTCTTATAACTAAATAACAAAACTATGTACAAAACAACAGAACTAGAGACAAGATGGGAAACCCCAGCCCTGAACCCTTCCCACAGAGCCAGACCCCGCGCAGGCCAGTGCCTCCCCTGCTGAGGGAGGGGCCAGCGCACTGCCGCTGCCTCAGGGCCTCCATAGCTTTAAAAAAAGAAAAAAAAATTGTTCTGGGGGGTTTTATTTTCAGATTGTAAAAGTAATGCATGTTGGAAAGTATAAAGAAACAGGAAAAAATACTATCCATCCTCCTGCTCTCTGGGTCATCACAATATTGTATGAATAGAAATGACAGATATCTTAGATCATCCTATTTACAAGCCCCCCCCCAAGACTAAATGTCTGTGTTTATGGGATGATTTCCAGTTTTCAATGCGTGACATTAAGAAAAGATCTAGATTCAGAATGGTGATAAATTAGGTACAAACTTGGACTGCCTTTTCCACTGCTGTCATTTTTATTTTCACCATTTTGTTTCTGTTCACCAATTTGAGTTCTCTTTGCTGTCTCTTATGGTAATAAATGCTGCTCTGAACAATTACTTACTCTGGCTGTGTACTGGCTATCAGAACTCATAGCATCATGGTCTCACACGATTTCACAACGAATATGAAATCGGTCCAGTGAGTTTAAGATGATGGAATAGGCCCCTAGCTCTTATTTTTTTGTGATATTTAAACAAAATGTTATGAAATTCTTTATTTCTTTGTTACAGATTGGATGTGATCGTAGCCAAAACCTTGTGGATATTTGTAGAGAGAAGTGCTTTGAGGCCTTTGTCTGTGACGCGCTGGCGGTGCCGCTCCTCGGCGGGTCCTGTGACGCCTGCCTCTCCATTGCTGTTATTCACCACTTTGCAACCGTAGTGAGTATTCGCTCCTTCTCTAAGAGCTTGTAACGAAAGTGGCAGGAAAAGTTCACGGATTTCACTGATCTGGGGCCCTGTTTTAGCTTTTTATTTCTTTCTGTTCTCTGTCACACCATTTTCCCTCGTTGAGTTTTTTTGTTTGTTTGTTTGAGACGGAGTCTTACTCTGCTGCCCCAGCCTAGAGTGCTGTGATGTCATAGCTCACAGCAACCTCAAACTCCTAAGCTCAAGTGATCTTCCTGCCTCAGTCCAAGTAGCTGAAACTACAGGACATGTCACAATGCCTGGCTGATGTTTCTTTGTTTTTAGTAGAGATGGAGGTCTGGTGCTTGCAGTCTCAAACTCCTGAACTCAAGCAATCCTGCTGCCTTGGCCTCCTAAGAGTGAGAGGATTTCAGGTGTGAGCCACCACACCCAGCCCATTTGCCCTCTTTGTGAGAGAGCCTGCAGAATGCACATGGGCTGCACGGGAGTGCGTTCCCTTAAACAGAGGCCTCAGAGGACTCTGTGCTTTACTGCTGCTTGTGTTTGCATTTTTCTGTCCGATTCTCATTCATTTCTACATGCCTTAATTTAAGCCAGTGGTTCTCAACTTTCCTAATGCTGCAACCCTTTAGTACAGTTCCTCATGTTGTGGTGACCCCCAACCATAAAATTATTTTTGTTGCTACTTCATAACTGTAATTTTGCTACTATTATGAATCATAATGTAAATATCTGATATGCAGGATGTATTTTCATTGGTCGCGACCCACAGGTTGAGAACTGCTGCTTTAAGCCCACAGATTCGCAGAATTTTAGCTGGAAGAGATTGAGATCATCGACTCTAGGCCTCCTGAGCGCTCACTCCTCAGATTCTGCGTCTCGTCTCTGTTTCTCCTTCCCAGTTTTCTTTCTCACTCTGTACTCTCGTCCTTCACGTGTGAGTCTCACTTCCCTTTCTGTTTTTCCTTCTTTCCTATTCTTTTAAGACTCTTTTATTAGCTGCTAGTAGTATGTTATTGATTAATTGTAAACTTATCGGTTGCCAGTATAATTTGTTACATGGATACACTGTATCATGTAGTGCTAAAGTCAAGTCTTTTAGTGTATCCGTCACATCGTACATTGCGCCCATTAAATAACTTCTCATCATCCATGCTCCTCCCAGCTCCTCATCCTTATCTATCATTCCACACTCCTGTACCTGTGTGCATATTATTCATCTTCTATTTATAAGTGAGAACATGTGATATTTGTCTTCCTGTGTCTGAATTGTTTCACTTAAGGCACTGGCTTCCAGTCCTATCCATACTGCTGCAGAAGACATGATTTCACTGCTTTTTTCGGTGAGACAGAGTCTCTAGTGTGAGTCAGCTCTTGTCACACTAGGTAGAGTACCATGATATCATAGTTCACAGCAACCTCAAACTCTTGGGTTCAAGAGATCCTTTGCCTCAGCCTTCTAACTAGAGGGGACTACAGGTACCCACCACAGTGCCTGGCTAGTTTTTTCTATTTTTAGAAAGACAGAGTCTCACTCTTGCTCAAGCTGTTCTTGAACTCCTGAGGTCAAGCAATCCACCCATCTTGGCCTCCCAGAGTCCTAGGATTACAGATATAAGCTGTCGTGCTTGGCTGATTTTTCTATTCTTAGTGGCAGTGGGGTCCCAATCTTTGTGAATTTTGGGATTGTTTTCACCAATTCTATGAAAAATAATGTTAGTATTTCGATACAGATTTTACTAAATCTGTAGATTGCTTTGGGCATTATGGTCATTTTAGCAATACTGATTCTTCTGATGTATGAGCGTGAGATGTTTTTCCATTCGTGTGTGTCATCTATGATTTCTTTCATCAGTGTTTTGTAGTTTTCTTTGTAGAGGTCTTTTTCCTCCTTGGTTAAGGATTCCTAGGCTTAGTTAGTTAGTTTGTTTGTTTTTGTAGCTATTAGAAATAGTGTTGCCTTCTTGATTTGATCTCAGCTAGATCATTATTGGTGTATAGAAATGCTACTAATGTTTGTACATTGATTTTGTATCCTGAAACTTTACTGAATTCATTTATCAAATCTAAGAGTTTTTTTTTACTGGAGTCTTTGGGGTTTTTTAAGATAAAAAATCCTATCAGCGATCATAATATAGTTTACACAATTCTTTGTACAAAAACGTACTGTGTAAATGTAATCCATGACCTAACAGGACTTCATGTTACTACTGATAGCCTTGTAAGAATTCATCAGTTGTTTCATGTATCCTCACTAGTCAGTTAAGGAAGAACTCATGGGGAAAGTTAACAGAAATCAAAATTTCTTTTTCCCTACTTCCTCGAAACTTTTTTCTTGAACACAGAACAGAATACCCTTTCCTATTTGTTTGTTTCATATAATACATTTTGTTAGATTTTCTTACTGTTCATCCTAATTGAAAATAGTCCTGTAGTCAGTGATATTTTCCCATTTTTTTCTGTATCTGTTTGGTTGAAAAATGGTTTTTTTTGTTTGTTTGTTTGTTTTTTAGGAACGTAGGGTGGCAGCTGTTCAAGAACTTGTTCGACTCCTGAGGCCTAAGGGGAAGGCACTCATTTACGTCTGGGCAATGGAACAAGAATACAATAAGCAGAAGTCCAAGTATCTTAGAGAAAACAGGATTAGCCAAGGAAAGAAAGAGGAGATAAACAGTGATGCCTCGATGCCAGGGTTGCCTGTGGAGCAAATGCCTGATTTGGGCAGTCAAGACTCAGCATCTTCTATCCCCACCATTAATGGCTTTGAGGAAGGAGGATGTAATTCAGGGAAAGTTACAGACTCTAAGCTGCCTATTCATACTAACAGGACTTCTTTTCATTCTCAAGATGTGCTGGTTCCCTGGCACCTTAGAGGAAACTCTGACAAGGGTAAACCTGTTGAGACATTTGATCCAGCAGCATCTCATGACCGAGGTCCTGTCCTCCATCGTTACTACCATGTGTTTCGTGAAGGGGAGCTGGAGGCTGCCTGCCAGGCTTTGAGTAATGTCCACATTCTGCAAAGCTACTATGATCAGGGGAACTGGTGTGTGATTCTGCAAAAGATCTGATTATTTACATGAACATATCATACAGAGGAAAAATGCTTCAGCTGCCTTTTTTTTTTTAAGAATAATTTAATTATCTCATAATTAAAGAGAAAACTAATATGTAGTTATTTCTAGTTTGTCCCCAGTCCAGGTACCATCGGATTTTTTATTTCGAAATTCTATACAATACTGCAACCTGGCCTAGGTCATGTTTCCAGGAGGAACAAAGGTAGAATTGAAGTATAGGTCGAATTAATCATGCAGAAAGAAAAGACTATTTTTTAAAGAAAAAAATTTTGAACACTTTCCTCCCAGCATGTACTGCTTTTGTAGTAGTAATACTTAAGACTGTTTTAGAGAAAAATTGCTTTCTGTGGATTATGTCTGCCTAGATAATTATGGATCTTATTATATGTTAGTGATATTTAATCTCCAAGCATCAAGCTTTCAGAAACATGTAGATGAAATGATGACTATTTTCGTTGTGGAATTTCACTACAAGATCCAGATGTATAATTTCCTCTGGATGAATTTATAAGGTTCATGATATGGGGAGGAGAATATAGGCTAAAAATAATTTTATTTGTGATACAAATTCTGGGACTTAACATCAAAATTTGTAATTCAAGTCATGCTAATAGATTTTAAAATCCATATGAAATAGATGATTTTCTAGGAAGATAAAAATACCAAAATTATTAGGGTACGTGTGAATTTGTCTAAAGGTCGAATATAAATGTCTTAACAATTATGAGAAAGACATGATGGCTATGTTAGCCAGATGGATGAGAGTTTTTCAAACTGTATATGGAAGCAACACACTGTATTCTATGATAGAAGTAATGTACACAATTAAGATCTAATAAAAAAAAAAGGAAAAAAGATACCAAAATTGACTCAAGAAGAGAGAGAGACAAAATAGAAAATGTTGGAAAAATATAACAGTGTAGGAAATCAGAACTTGGCTCTAGAATCAGATTTCCTAAAAGTTTAATTCTAAATTTGCTATGTATTAACTGTGGGATTTTGGACGAATTTCTTAACTTTTCTATGCTTCAGTTTTTTTAGCTGTAAAATTGGAAGAGTTGTTATGAAAATCCACTGAAATAATACTTGCATATTAAGATCTGAAAATAGTATAAGAATATGTTAGACATTTGAGATATATTCATGATTATTATGTCCAAAGGAGGCCCAAAGGACTTTTAGATATTGGGTGATACTAAATGTAATTTGTTAATTGTGTAGTAAAAATCTGTGTTCTTACTCATTTTTTTGATCTAATTGTTCTTACCAGTTGAGACAGATGTGTTAAAATCTCCCACTATGGTTATAGATTTCTCAATTTTTCCTTGTAGGTCTGTCAGTACCATAGTGCAACTATGGAAAAAATCCAAATGTCTACCTATAGTACAGTGAGTTAAATTACAGGGAATTCATATGATACATTATTACATAGCAGCATTTAAGGTGCATATACTTAAAGCTACAGTATAGATGACTCTCAGAAACATAATGCTGAGTAAAAGAAGCCAGACACTAAGTAATGCTATATGATTTTGGCAGAGTTTAAGAGTCCCCAGAACCACTCTCACTTTCTACACCAACTCCAAAGTTTGGGATCCCCAAGAACACTGACACTTCTGATGCCAGCTGGGAATTGGGATGATCTTAAGACCAGTCTCAGGTTTGGTAATTGCTAGAGGGGTTCATGGAACTCACTGAAACTATTAATGCTCAGGGTTATAGCTTATTAAAAATGAAAAGATACGGATTAAAATCAGCCAAAGGGAGAGAGAGGCACGTGGAGCAGAGTCGGGAGAGTCCCATGCATGGAGCTTTCTGTTGTCTCCCATTGTGGATAGGACCGACTCTTGCAAAGCCGTGTGATAATACACATGGTGTTCTGAGTTTTTATTGAGACTTGGTCACATAGACATGGTTGACTGCACATGCAGCTGACCTTTAGTACTCAGTCCTTCTGGAAGTCTGAGCTGATAATTCTTGGCCCAAGATCTCCAGGTAAACAGACATGCTTATTAGCCAGGACATTTCAAGGGCCAGCAATTAACTCTCAGGAGTCTCTTGTCATGCAAGGGCCAGGCCTCTCATGGGAAAAAGTTAACTCTTTACTACACAATTTCCTTTAGGAAAATACTGAAATAAAGGGAATATCAAAGTATATTTTTACAAACTTAAGCAGCAGTCAAGTTTCACTTGGAAGGAATGAGTGGGCCTTCCAGGGTATTCACAGTGTCCTCTGTCCCTGGGTGGTATGTTGTAGCAGCCCATATAGCCTATGGCTAGGAGGAGTGAGTTATAGGAAATACCTGTAATGGAACACCTTGGTGAAAAGGGCATGGAGAGGGATTTAGCATGAAGAGAGCTCGTGAGATGAGAGCATTGGTGAATTGGCAGTCTCTACACCTGTGGTGTTGAGAGGCATGAGCTCAGCCTTATATTAGGCTGGAGAAGGCAGTCAAAAAGCATGTGCATTCTATCATGGACACGCTTACTCTGATTCTGTCTCCTCTTCTGCCTGCAGAATGCCAGCACGGCGTCTCTCTGCTGAAGATTACCAAGTTCTCCCAAAGACTAAGACCTCTGTTCTAAGCAGACTGCTTTACTCTCTCTAACACACCCACACACTCTCTCTCTCCAGCTAAAGTAGATAGCCCTCAAGCACCTAAGAGAAACTGTTTCTGAGCAAGGTAGCTTAGTGGTCTGCATCCAGAACCCACCTAAGCCGGGCCTGAGACCTGGCCAGTCCTGGGCCCTGACAAGCAGTGTCAGAAGTGGGATGTGACAAATGGTGCTATGAGCAGGATTCAGTGAATGCAGACCGAGAGGGAAATAAGCTTTAGCAAAATAAGAAGAGAAATAGAAATATTCAGAGGGAAAAGAAATATCTAAGAAAGATAGCCAACAGCAAGGCCTTTTTCATTTGGTTTTTCCTCTTCTTTCCTACGTTTTCTCTTTCCAAATTCTAACTACTACTTCTGTGGGGGTGGGGGGGGGAAGCTGGTAAAAGCCTTTAGTCTCTTCTGTGAAGTGGCTGGAGATAAAAAAGCAGAAAAAAGCCTTTAAACAAGAGTTCCGGAAAGAGAAAAGATCTAGGAGATAAGAACCTTTAGTAAACAAGCCTTTAGCCTCAGGGGTGAGAAAAGCCTTTGGTAAAACAGCAAAGAGAAAAGGTTGGGAATAGGTTGCAAGAGTTTATTAACGTAGGGAAGAGAACTTCTAACTGCTTCCCATATATCTTCACCCAATGCCAGCAGGAAGTAGCTTTTGGGAGACTAATGCTGGAATCTCTTTTTGGCAGTTAAGAGTTCTGTTTAAAAAGAAAAGAAGTGAGGTAGATTGAGGCTGGTGAAGAAATAGAGGAAGTGAAGTTTTGTAAGACTAAAACTCCAGAGTAAAAAACAGCTAAAGAGTTCCTGTCCCTTTAAGGCAGTCAAAGGTTCTAAGAATTGAAAAGAAAAGATTGTAAAAAGTAGAAGGCCAAAAGAAAGCCAGTAGAGAAAAATCATGGAAAATAAGATACAGCAGTTGAAGTAACAAATGAAACAGCTTAAAGATGAAATTAAGATCATGGCAGCTGGCTCAGCGCCTATAGCTCAACCGGCTAAGGCGCCAGCCATGTACACCTAAGGTGGCGGGTTTGAATCCTCAGCCCAGACCCACCAAACAACAATGATGGCTGCAACCAAAAAATAGCCGGGCGTTGTGGCGGGCGCCTGTGGTCCCAGCTACTTGGGAGGCTGAGGCAGGAGACTCGCTTGAGCCCAGGAGTTGGAGGTTGCTGTGAGCTGTAATGCTATGGCACTCTACCCAGGGGGACAGCTTGAGGCTCTGTCTCAAAAAAAAAAAAAAAAGATCATGGCAGCTGATATAAAACAGTTGAAAGATCAGATGAATAGTCTTATAGTTGAAGCAGGTAAATGCTGTATTGACATGACAACTCAAATTGGGCAGCTGGAAGATCAGAGTGTAAATCTCCAAGTTAACATCAAATGCCATAAATGTGGGAAGCTAGGCCAAAATCAGGACCCACTGGTAAATGAAAGTTAGAATAGTGTTTCTGTAAGGGTCAACTGAGGCATATAGGCATTTCACCTATAAAACAGTTTCTTTAATATTTTCCACTTCAAACAATTCTCAGAAAAACAGTATAATTCAATTCTATGTCATGGGAACACTCTGCCAGCTTGGTTAGACCTGTGGTGCCTCAGCGTAAAACAGGAAATTAAACCAGACCAATGGATGATGGAGAATAATTAGATTAAATATTTTTGTGGAATATTTAGTTATCCTGCATGGTGAAGGGGTAACCCACCTCTCATCAACCTGTGCACTATATCTGTCTGTGTACTATAACTGGGTCAGCTAAAGAGCCTGGACATGGCCCAAAGGGGAAGTGGCCCAAAGAGGAAGTGACACTTGAAAGCAAGTGAAGCCTTTGGAAGATTATGAGAGGTGAGAACAAAGGGAAGGAAGGGTAACTAAAAGTTAAACCACCTTTGTGCTAGGGAACTCCATATGAAAAGAGTCTGGAATCAATTAGCAAAAATTTCGCTGGAAAAGCAGCTTGAAAACAGGAAAAATTCTGCTATTGAGGAATTGTGAAGTGTGGGGCCACTGAGGACCACGAGTAACAGAGCCTCTGAGAGAAAATGCAAAGGGTGGAACCATTAGTCCTTGAGTCACAGTCTTTTGATCTGTGAAGGGTGGATTTAGGACCACGAGTAGCAAAACCTTCGGAATAGTGAGGGAAAAATCTTTGCTTGCAAAGATGGCGAGGAAAGTGTTATCTTTTGTTCATCTGTTAAGTAAACATCAAAGGAAAGTTCATACAGTTAAAGAAATGGTAAATTCTCTCGGCAAAGATTTTCTCAGTTTAAAAAGTCCTTTAAGGGAATTAGCATCACAATCATCATTTTTCCTTAGCAGTGGCTAATCGTTTACATCTATATTGGGCTTCCTCATTTAAAGAGCCCATACCTGGAATTCTGAACTCTGATAATTACCATCTTTTGCCTAGAAAGAAAAGGGCTAGATAACAGGAAGAACTGCCCTTACCACATTAAAAATTATTTTGTTTGTATATAAAAAAGGGGGGAAATGTAGCAGCCCGTATAGCCTATGGCTAGGAAGAGTGAGTTATAGGAAATACCTGTAATGGAACACCTTGGTGAACAGGGCATGGAGAGGGATTTAGCATGAGAGAGCTCACGAGATGAGAGCATTGGTGAATTGGCAGTCTCTATACCTGTGGTGTTGAGAGGCATGAGCTCAGCCTTATTTATATTAGGCTGGAGGAGAAGGCAGGAAAAAAGCATGTGCATTCTATCACAGACACGCTTACTCTGACTCTGTCTCCTCTTCTGCCTGCAGAACTCCAGCACAGCATCTCTCTGCTGAAGATTACCAAGCTCTGCCAAAGGCTAAGATCTATCTGTTCTAAGTAGACTGCTTTACTCTCTCTAAGACTCTCTCTCTCTCTCCTCCGACCCCTCTCTCCAGCTAAAGTAAATAGCCCTCAAGCACCTAAAAGAAACTGTTCCTGAGCAAGGTAGCTTAGCAGTCCGTGTCCGGAACCTACCTAAGCTGGGCCCGAGACCTGGCCAGTCCCAGGCCCTGACAAGTAGTGTCAGAAGCAGATCCTGACAGTACATAAAATGGGTGTTTGTACATTTATGATTTGTATACTTTTTAAATGTATA